AATACAAAAATTAGAAAAAAGTCGTGTTCCGTACCGCTCCCCCACCCCCCGCGTATCCCGTGGAACGTGTGCAGCAACAGGACCAAGAGCTGACACCAGATGCCAACAACTAGTGATGGAGCGTGGGGCGGAGAGGGAAGGGTTACGGGAAAGAAATGGTGGTTCTGTCAACAGCCAAAACAAGGACACAAAGCTTTTTGTTTCTCATTAAATCCCTTTGCCAACACTAAACAAACACCTCTCATGCTTAATACAACAGCTTAGTGCGAAGGCAGCAATTCTACATCATGCATTTTCTACTTTGCCAGCCCCAAACTTGCTCTCGGCACCGAGAAGTCTGGGGCTCTGGACGTCCAGTCTTGGGGTGGGAGGAGGCGGGAAGGCCTTCCCAGGCTGGGTCTCCGTCAGTACGCACCAGACGCCGTCCTGCCTCCACAGTTCCAGGTGGCCACCTCCCAACCCGAAGCCCGGTGCTGGCCTCTCTTCAGAGACCTTCCCGAGGGCCCAGACTGGTCCCCGAGCTCTGGCCTTCCTCCAGGACTAGGTCAGGCAGCTGCGCCCGCAGCGTTCTCGCTCCTGTAGAGGAGACTGCCCGGAGGCCTCAGCTCCCAGCTCTCACTGATGCCAACGCTATTCCTCAACGAAGCCAGGACTCCCCTCACCGTGACAGCATGTCCGTGAAGGCCCAGCAGTCATCCGTCGTCTGAAAGCAGAGTGCCAACCAGTGGCTCCACGCAGCTTTCTGCTCTGCTTATATCTCATCACACTCCTGTGTCCTGGCTTCTGAAGCCACTGCCACGGCAGAGACCTCTGGAATCAAGGAGACAAGCTATGGCCTGAGGGACCCCTTAAACATCAGAACTTAGGTAAGCGAGGAGGCAGAAAGCCAGGTTGTCGCCTTTCCTTGTTTCATGGGGGCTTCTGCACACAGACGCCTTTAGGATGGACAATGAGACAGCTGATACGTGGCCTATTCGCAGCACTTGAGCGGAGAGCACTGTTAACACAGGCCTTACCGGGAATGACAACATCGAGGGTATTATTGTCTACATCACACGGAGCCTGTCTTAAATGTTCCTTTTGCCCCCTTCAGGGTGGCTCCTTGCCCTGATCACAAGGAGGATTGGACGGAAGACGCTGTGGTTAGAACATGTGTTCAGTCACCACACAGTTTGATTCACTGAAGGTGAGCCACTGGCCTAGATGCAAGAGATGAAAGACTGCACATTTTTCTTTAACACGTGTTGTTTTGTAATCCTCACAATACATCAGAGGAGGTAGGTTAGTATGGGTCCCATGTTCAGACGGGGATACTGAGGCACAGAAAGATTAAGAAATTTGCCCACCACCCGAACCATGAATCAACATCACGGCCAGCTTAGAAAAGAGAAGTGAGGGCTGAACTCAGTGTTTGATCAACACGTCCTACCCTAAACCTACCCTTATATTTTTACAGCCCATATACGGTCAAAGCTGCCAGGATCCTTTTATCTTCAAGGAGGAACTGTCAAGGCATGCAGTCAGTGAACACAGCTACTGGCTCCCTTGCAAAAGTAAAGTCCTAAAATTTTCCCAGGATCAGCAAATATCTGCTAACAATATTTGATTAGATTTTTTAAACTGGTCGAAGGCCACAAACCCACTAAGAAGCCCCTGATGCTTCCTGTAAAACGTGGCCAAGAAAAACCAAGCTAGTCAGTCTTGCTTTCTAGGAGTTGGGTGGAGTTGGGGGGTGTTTGGGGAGTCAAATTGTGAACCTGACAGGTTGGCTTCTGTTGGTGGTGGCTCACCCTGTCTTGCCTTACCTGTCCCACTGAAGACCTTTGGGAAAGCCTGGCAGCTCTGTGACGTAGGCTTTATATGACACAGTGACGTGGCAGCCCACAGGCGCTTGGCAGATCCACGCATGACAGACCACCCGCAGAACCCAGTGGTCCTCAACTGGGGGTAGCTCCAAGGGACTCTTGGCCACCTCTATCGATACTTTTGAGTGTCACCACTAACTGGCAGCCAAAGGGTAGAGACCAGAGATGCTGCTAAATGTCCTACGGTTTACAGGCCCCACCCCAAAGTGTCAGTAGAAGTTGAAAAACCCCCCTCACTGCCTCACAGCCAGCAGGGGCCACTGGACTGGCAGCAGCCTCATTGATGGGCAGTCCACCTGCTCGCTGGTATGAAAACGTGCCTTCACAGTGGGACCAAGCCTTTCCCTTGGGATGACAATTAGGGCTTAAAGGCAAGTATCCTTGCAAGAAGTACACACAGATCCTGCATTCTGATCCTTTCCTGAGGGTGCTCTGGCAGGACAGAGGGCAGGGGCACCGAGAGGGAGAGAAAGGGCTCAGAAAAGTGGCTTGCCGCCATCTCTCTTGGCGAGCTCCACAGTGTTGCCCAGGCTCCATGGAGAAAGCACGGCCCTCCCCAGCCTTGTGGACCATGTGGCACCTGAGGGCACAGCCACAACTACAAAGTCCACACAGGGCTGAAATGCAGCCTCGGACGATGCAGTTTTCGTTTTTAGGTCAGTTACTTTGTGGGTCATATGAATCGTCATTTTCCCCAAGAGGACAGAGAGGGGAAAAGCAGGCCTTAGGGAACCACGTCACAATGCTTTGAATTAGGAGCTGGGATGCAATGCAGTGAGCTGCTTGTGGGCATTTCTCAAAGAGATTACTTTTAAAAGGAAAGGGAGTACACTTTGACCAAACCTGCTCACTAGCAAGGAGCAAAACTGCAGAGCTATATCACAGAGGCATTATTTACAATGCCGTGGAACTTGACGTCAGACTACTTTGAATTCTTTTCTCACTGGAACTACCTGACAGATTTACACACCAAGTTATTCCTCAGCCAGCCCGACAAAAGCATCATCTTGAGATCATTTTTACGTACAAATATGCTACCATGGTGTAGCGCGATAGGGAATTCGGTGGCAGATGAGAATCCCATGACCCGCCTGTCGTGCCTACTCCAAATCCCAGGACCCTCCCGGCCATGGAGTCGACAGTTCCTTCTTCCTTATCTGCACCCTCAAGAACACGAGTGTGTGGCACGGACCTGCCCTTGTCTCTGAAGGGCATTCTTGTCCCTGAAAGGTGTTTTGTGCTGAAGACAAGAGAGGTGTCTGGGAAGGACAGCTCGGGGCTGTACCCAGCATTGGCTGTACTGCTTCAGGGCTCTTGGAGGACTCAGAAGAGGGGGAGCCTCCCAAGCCCCCGAGCTCACTGCTGCAAGGGAGCGGGGAGTCCTGGTTGCCCCTCTCAAAACTTCAGGGAATTTTCTTCTTGAACAAGAGCTCCTGTGGAGTTGCAGGCCTTTTCCGCGTCTTGCCTGACCTTGGTGCCAGCCTCTCTGAGGGTGCTAGCGAGGCCACGGTGGCGCCAAACAGCTCGTGCTCCAAAGATGGGCAATTCCTCCGCAGCGGCGGTCACCAGGATGATTGAGGGCTCCTGGTCTTTCTCCGGGGGCCTGCTGGGAGAAGTTGCTCCCACCAGGCATCCTGTCTAGCCAGCCTTACTGCCCACTCCCTCTCTGGGGTGGGGTGCTGGTTGCTCTTTTCCAAGAGAGGGAGATCTTTCCCAAAGCTGATGGCGCCTGGACTTGCCGGCCCGCCCACGACTTCCTTGGCTCCAGGACAGTGGCTTCTCCTCTGTGTCCTCAGTCTTTAGGGATCGTCGCCACACCCTGAGCAGAGGCAACCTGGAGCTACGGCTAAGTACAAAGCTGCAAGAAGGTGTGAGCAGAGAGAGGTGTGGGCCCAGGCCTGGTGTGTGGCCTCCAGGGATTCTGGACGGGGACCTGGGGCAGGAGAAGGGCCACACACCACCAGGTGGGATGACAAGGCAGAGGCCACGAAGCAGGTGGCTCCAGGGCCCCAGAGGCCACAACGCAGCACCAAGCAGCTCCTAGGGACCGGGCAGCTAGACTTGCCAGCCACACGGCAGAGACAGTGGAGCGGGCAGCCTTGTGGGCCACGAGCGTGAGCTTTGAGGTAGGATCGTTGGATCTGTGGAACAGAGGGGAGGGTCTGTCCACCCCAGCAGGGGTCACTCAGGAGGAGGTGGGCATCGGAAGCACAGTTGGTGCCGGTGTGTACGGGTGAGTTTTAGAAAAGTCCTGTCCAGTGTGCAGACAAGCCACTCCTCAACCTCATGAATAAAATGCCTGACAAAATCTGTTCCTTTAAAAGTGAGAGAGAGGTTGCTGCCAGGGAGAGCTGGAGGTGACCAGGAAGACGACAGAGGGAGGAGAGGAAGGGCTCCCTGGGGACAGGGCCAAGGCAAGCTCTGGGCTCTGGGACCAGGAGCGAACGCTCTCCGAGAGAGGGGACAACTCAGAGTAGGGCTCCAGGGAGAAGGCTGGGCTTCCAGGAAGGAGGGGAGGACTCGAACCCAGAGCTCAGCACAGCCAGGTTCACAGCAGAGAGCCAGGAGACAAGGGACGTAGCACCGTCCTCCTATTTTCTGCTTCTCTGGAGGTCTTACCGACCCCAGCACGGCAGAGCCATCCCTGCCTGCCAGCTGGGCCACTCTTTGCGTTTGTGATGCTTTCACGATAACCGCAGGTGAGTCTCAAAGCAAAGGGTGGACGGACGAGAAGAGGCTCCCCTGGTCCGACATCTTACATGCTCAGGGGTCTGAGAGCAGCACAGCTCGGAGGAGCGGCTCAGATGCATTCTCAGTTAACTTCTTGGGGAGTCCTTTCCAGAAAGGAGCCACTGATGAAGACTTGTCACATAGGCATTAAAGTTCCCGTGTTTTCATTTGTGTTTAAGGACTAAGAACTGAGTGAACAATTTTTAGCAGACTGGCGTGTGCGTGCGTGTGTGTGTGTGAGTGAGAAAGAGACAGACAGACAGAGACAGAGGGAAGGAGGGAGAGAGGAAGAGCTAGAACAAAGGAGGAGGAAGAGAGAGAAGGAAGGAGGGAGAGAAAAAGTGAGAAAAAGGAGGAGGAAGGGAAGGAGAGAGAGAGAAGGGAGAAGGAGGAAGAGAGAAAGAGAAAGGGAAGAGGGGAGAGGGGGAGAGAGAGAGAGAGAGAGAACATAATCAGTTGATTCATCAAGGACCTAAGGAAGCCTTTTCAAAGGTTCTCAACTGCTCAGTGAGAGAACCAAAATTCAAGCATTAATGATGAGCGCCCCTTTCTATCCATCCCGAAGGAAGTCTGCAAGTGGCAGGACATGCAAGACTCCAGGACTAAGACGCGAAAGGATAACTCCAGCAAAGGTGCGACCCTGCAAAGGTGCGCTGAGAAGGACCCATGTCCCATAGAGGGCTGGCACGGGCGTGGCACCACTTCCTGCTCCCTGACTTCCATGCCCAGGAGGCCAGGCTCAAAGTCTGCCTTCCTCTCTCCCTCCACAAAATGGACAAGCTTTGAAAACAGATGGCAGGAAACACAAACATAAACCTGCATGCTTTCTCACTCCCTTGAGAAAGGTCCCTCTTGGCGAGCTTTTGCAACATCTAGGTGGAAGACGACACACACACACTCGTGTTGACCGCTGACGCGGCAGGGACAGGTGTGGCTTGCGGACCCATTCCTCGTCTCCCAAAGAAAACGTGTCTATACAACATTCCATGGCAGCAGGGTGCACCCTGGCCTTGCTTGGCCTGCCCTTGTAGATCATTTGAGCTTGGTGGGGACACAGCCTGTGGCCTGTGAGCGCCCGGTCACAGGCACGGTGGAGAGCTGGAGCGGAGCTAGTTTCCTGACAGCTTTGGCCGCCCCAGGTTAGTCGGCACTTCCAATCCTGTGTGCAGCGTGACCTGGAAAAAAAGAGTGGGGAGCTGAGGGGGGAGGACGTGGCCACGTGGACCCTGGGTGCCGCCAGCCTGGCAGCCACACGCCGCGCCCCCTGCCTGCTTCGGGCCACCCCAGGCCACAGCCCAGGGCAGTTCTCTAATGCGGAGGGTGGGCTGCATCACCTCACTGGTCTCCCCGAGGAAGGGTCATGCTGGCCTGTGCTCCTTCCCTCACAAGAAGAGCCATGCAGCTGACCTGGTTCTCCTTTTTCCAGAACTTCCAGATCCCAGTCAGAGCGGATGCCCTGTGGCACAGGTGCACCGGGTCTCACGGTCGTGGATCTGTGTCTCCTTTCTCCTCCCCCTCCCTTCCCATCAGTCCTGGTCTATCAACCTCGTGGAGTCACAGCCCATCTTTCAGGCTGCCTCGAATTCCTTTTGCGAATGAGCGGAGACACACATCCATCCACACACGATCGGTGTAGACTTATCAATGTTCAGGGCCCATGGGCGCCACAAAGCAGGAGCCTGGCTCCCTGCCCAGGGGAAGAGGACCCTGCAGGAGACAGAGGATGCTGACGTCACGTCTCTCTCTCCCTCACACCCGCTTGGGCTCTCGTTTGTCTGTGTCCGTTTCAGGCCTCCTGAGGACTGGGCCTTCCCTCGAGATAGGCCTCTCTAGAAGCCGCTGCCTTAGGTCCCCTGCTGGATCAGCGTGAACTAGTCAGAGAGGACCATCTCCAGGCAACGCCTGGGGCAGCCGGCAGGTGAGAGCCACGAGGGTGGGCTCTGTGGTCAGCTTCATTGTAGCTCAACCACCGTCACACAGGGGGACCAGTCGGAGCAGCTCCGGCCTGGCAAAGCGCGTGGTACCTGCACATTGCGGTTGAGGCTGAGGGCTGGCATGAAGACCCCGTCCACGTGACTGAAGGCCGTGGGGCCCTGCTGCTGCCCGTTGATGAAGAAGGTCAGGGTGTGCTTGTTCAGGTCCAGCAGGATGCCGACGGTGGCGCCCTTGCACACGCCGCCTTCCGTCCTGGGAAGACAAGCCCCGGGAAGGCCTATCACCACACCTAGTCTGGGATGCAGGTGATGACTCAGGAGTTACTTGAAGGGTGCCGGGAACACGCTCACCTAAAAACATGCCCCTGAGGTGGCGGTGGGGTGCCATCCTCCTGGGTTACGAGCCTTCTCTTCAAGTGGACACACCCCGTTGTCAGGCCATGCATGAAAACCCTACTCTAGAGGAACCCGGCTGTTCAACCCTGTCTTTCTGACAGAATCTGGGATCTACACATCAGGAAGTGAGGGTTTTGACGAGTGGGTCCCATGTGAAACCACGGGGCACACGGTGTGGGGAAGGAAGGTGCTTTTATCAACCAAGGAAAGCAATGAACCTGGGGTCCTTTTCTGTTTTAGCCAAATAAGGACGCTGAACTCCACGAAGAGGCAGACACCCAGGCCTTCAGGAGATTCTGAAACGCCTCCCCCTTGCTTCGGCTCGTCTTCCCAGAGACATCCTCGTGTCCCTTGGAAAGCATCACCTGACAAGGAGGGGCACAGAACCTGGAGTCCGGTCCTCTGTCGGAGCCCCCATCCCACCGGGGACCCACAGTGGCGCCCGGAGAATGTACATTGTGGATCTCTGCCCGTGTTGGCCGCACTGCACGTCACGGGTGGGGAGAATTCAAGATCCCTGGGTTGGGGAGGGACACTGGGCTGGCCTCGCCGGGTCCCCAGATCCCACAGGGACTTTCCTTTCCTCCACTGAGAGCTGTGGTCTTAGCCTCGACCTTGGCTGCGGGGCTTTGCTAAGAAAACCGTGTTGTCCTTCCTGATAAGGAACGAGCTGATCAGCAGGAGACGCTCATAGGAAGAAGGGGAGTGGTGGGAGGGGTTCGTGGCAGGAAGTCCTGTGGAGGACTTGGCGGGCCGACCAGAAGGCGTCGCAAGAGGGTAAGGCTCCCCTGAGTGCCGGGCAAGATGGCGGGTGGGAAACGGAAACTAGACGGGGCAGTTGGTGCCATTTGAATACTGACCACGGGTGGCGGTGGCGACCGGTTTTGGCAAGGGAATATGAGATCCACCAAAGCAAAGCCTGGGGTCAAGTCAGCGCGGGGGGCCCAGCCACCCACCCCCTGCACCGCCTCCAAGACAGCGCTCACCCTCACCTGCTCCACACCTGGGGCCTGGGGAGTGTGCGCAAAAGGAGCAGTGCCTCCGCCCACCTCCTGGCCCCACTTTCCCTCTGCCCCTCCCACGGAGGGCCAGGGGCTGGCGAGGGCAGGAGAGGCCCTCGAGGCCCTAGACAGGCCGCTCAGGAGGGGTCGTGGCATCGCCAGGAGGGCTGAGGGGTCTGCACCACAGAGAGCAGGGGCTGGGATTCTAAGTGCAATCCTGACAGCACCCCTAACCGGCAGGGTGATTCGGGCGGTGGCCTGGCCTTTCTAAGCCCGTCTCATAATCTGTGAAATGGATATAATCAGAGTGCTTTTGTGAGGATTACACTCGACATCAGCTGCTTCCTACAGTGTCGGCACAAAGTAAGCACTCAATAAGCGCTCATCGATACAACCCGTCAGGGCATCCAGGTGCCGCTGTGGCTTAAGCCAGCAGAGATGGAGCTGGTGGGCCTGGACTGGGCCCCTCCAGGGTGCCAGGGCAGGGGGACGGAGCTGCCTGCCTCGCCCTCAGGCCTGTGGAGAGAAGGAACACTGCCAGCAAAAAGGCAGGTAGGCAGAGTCTTGAAGGCCCTCGAGAAAATCCCGGGCCAGATCAGAGCGGCCTCCCTGAGAAGGGGTCCTCCACGGCAGGGACGACGCCTGGAGGCTGTTTGTAGGAGTTGCAAAAAGACCCAGAGCACCAAGAGCCTCCAGGGCTGACTTGGCTGGAGCTGGGGCCCAGTGAGGCTGGCTCTGGAGGGCTCCCCTCCTGACGGGGGGACTGCCCTGCAGCAGACCGGGAAGGAGGCCCCACTGAGAAGGCAGCCCGGAGCTGCAACTCGCAACTCTCCGTTTCTGGATTCCTTGGCCAGTGCTGGTCTTGGAGGCTTTCCACCCCCCATGCCTGTGCCCCAACACAGAACCCCTGAGGGGTGGGGGAGAAAGAGTACTGACCCGAGGTGGAACTCGGGGGCACTGCCTTCTCTGTCTGAGGAGAGAGACCAAGGCACCATCAGTCCCCAGAGAAGCCCAGGCCTCGGGGGCATCTTTCCCGGGAAGCCCCAAGGGGCCCCTCCCCCTCTGCCCTCCGGCCCTTGGGGGGCCCCAGTCGTGACGAAGGCCTGTCCTCCCTAGGACCAGAGTCCCCTGTGTCCACCCTGGTAACACTGCTCCCAGAGCCAGCCTCAGGGCAAAGCTGCAGCCATGGGTGCTCTTGGTAGACTCACTACCAGGGGACACCCAGCCATGCCCTCTTTTTCTACCCCTTGAGGGCCCTGTCTAGGCTCAGGCCCATGGGAGACTAGGGCAGTGGCAGGGCCACACCAGGCAAACTCCCGGCAACGACCTGGTCATAACTGGGAGGACGCCAGCCCCAGCGGTGCCTGTGAACGCCCTGCAGCCACTCGAGCTTGTGTTCACAGCTGTAAAGGAAAGTGGAGCCGAACCAGAACGAACCAGGAGCTCCGCATCCTGGCAGAACCCTGGCCAGGCGGCTCACTGAGTCATGGGAGACATCTCTGGGCCGGTGCTGCTCTGGTCACCGCTGCACACTCTCATTTGGGCTGTAGGCAAACGGCCCCTTCTACCCGGTCAGAGTCGAAGCCTCCGGGAAGCTGGAGACCAGGCTGGCCGAGGCCCCCTTCCCCACTCCCGAGCCCGGCCTTGGGGACAGCAAGAGGGACGCTGGCCCACGGGGCCCTCGTTCCCACGCTGCGTCCATGCGGGCGGGTGGGGGCGCACCTGCTGGTGTGGGAGTTGCAGTGCATGAACCAGCTGCGGCTGTTGTCCACGTACATGGCCCAAGCCTTGTCGTCCTTGCCCAGCATCATGTCCTTGGCCACGCTGGCCCTGGCCACCCCGAAGGCGGGGTCCGGGTGGTTGTCGTAGCGGTCCACGTGCAGCTCCCAGTAGTGGGCGCCCTTGGAGAATGCGGCTGTGCCCAGCACCACCCTGTCGTCGTAGCTGCTGCAGGTGGCCGTCTGGTTGTCGTTGGACAGAATGATGTCCCGGTGCCCAGAGTTGGGGTCAAACGTGAACCAGGCCACTGAAAAGGAAGGAGGCGGAGGAGGAGGCTCAGGCGAAGGAATTCGCCCGTCGTCTCCAGTGGGCTCCCAGACACGGGCTCACTCGCTTCTGCAGAATGTTGGCACCCAGCCCCGGGGGGGGTCTTTCCCGTACGATTACTATGCACGCACACACACATGCAATATGCACACGCGCACACCCACACACGAGCACACGCACACGCCCTGCATCGTTCATCCGAGTCTCCAGTCCCACGAACCCGGCCTCGCCAAGGAGCCCAGACACTCAGGCCTCAGAGCCCCAAGTCCAGATGCAACGTCCTTCCCGAGAGACACTGCTACGAGTTCAGAGGGCCACGGACGTCCACGGCCCACCTTGTGGACAGGAGAGTGGACATGCAGAGAGGCGAAGTGTTGCGGCCAGGGTCACGAAGCCCATCGGGTGGCCGCCTCTTCAGCTCCTCAAGCACCCCAGGTGGTGGGACTCGAGGCCCTTACTCGAAGGTGATGACCAAGATGCCCACGGCAGGGGCCGCCCACCTCCAGGCTGGAGGGTGCTCAGGGCCGAAAGCCAGTGAGCGCGTCTCGAGGGGTGCCCGCACCCCGTCCAGGACCGATTCCCAGCTGTGCCCTTGACGCCGGCACCTGCTGCCACTCCTCCTCCTCCCCGCCCGGGAGACCATGCAGCTGTGGGAATCAGAAGACGTGTGGACTCAACGGCGACAGGCGCGGGCTTAGCATTGCCCTTGGAACCGGCGGGGGCTGGGGCCCTCCGCAGCCCAGCCTGGGTCGTGCCCAGTGCGGCAGGACTGTCTTTGGCATGTGGCTTTTATTTCCATCTTGCTGCCCACTGAGGGCTCGGGTGATCAGAGTTCCACTGAACATCAGTGGGCTGTTGTGGCCTAAAACTTGAAAGGATACAGTAGGTGTACCCATCAGGAGATGTGAGCCCTGGTGCTGGGTCTCCAAGGGGCGTGTTTCCGCTGCCAAAAAGGCTCGAGTCTGGGGGCTGCCATGTGACGTTCTTCTCTGGGACTGTCCTACTCCTTCAGAAGTGGGAGAGCTTCAGCCTCCCCGAGCTAGGCCACACTTAGTCCCCCTTCCCAGGTCTAAACAATGGGATGAAGAGATGTTTCTTTCTTCTGTGACTTTCGAAGACGGAGGTACCACAAGGAGCTGCACGTGTAGACCAGGGACAGGCATGCACCTCCTCTGTGCCTCCTCCCCTGTTTCCTCCCTCCTTCATCGTCAGCAGCTGATCGTTTCCCCCCAACCCATGGGCTTGGACCCAGAGGTCAATGTTCCTCCTTTGGGAACTTACCCATGATCCCAGCAAGGACCAACACGCAGAACACAGCTGTGTCTAGCACCCCCCCCCGAGTCATCACAGCTGCTGCGAGTGGCCGTCTGGTGGCCACAATGAAAAGACGACTCTGTCCTCCCCACTAAGAGACCCCAGGGCTCACCATCAGACGTCTGCAAGACGACAGTTTTGCTGTAAGGCCCGACGCCAGAGGAGTTGAAGGCTTTGACCCTGGCATTGTAGGTGCTGTTGAAGTGAAGGCCATCGATGGTGCACAGGGTCTCCTTGCCAACGTACACTTCCTGAAGGAGACGCAAGACTGACCATTAGGCTCCTCTAGGGTTTGGAAAATTCCACTTGGCAACTGGTTTCTGGAGCCCCACTGACATGAGAAGGGCTGGCTGTGGAGGCACAAGCTACTGCTGTCCCAGCTACTTGGGAGGCTGGGGAAGGAGGGTGCTTTGAGCCCAGGATTTCAAGGCCAGCCTGGGCAGCACTGTAAGACCCCTGTCTTTAAAATTTTTTTCATAAAAAATTTCTAAAGTGCTATCACTCCAGTGCTAATTACCGAATAAAATAAATCACAATCTGTTGTGTCTGGATCATAGATCATGTCCACACTTGGCACAAACACCTGACTGTTGGCTGTTGGGTCCCTCTGCCTGTGAGGTGATGAGGTGTGCGGTCCCAGTGAGGCAGGAACTAAAGGTCTGCAGCCAGCTAGGAGGCTGCCCGAGATATCCTGCCTCTGCCGAGGGTAACCTTGTCAGACAAGACTCACAACCCTACAGGTCATCAACGTCTCCGCCTCCTCCCACCTCGGAGGTTGGCATCCTCCAATCCATGGGCCCTTCCAGAGCTGCTATATTCCTGGTCTCCCCAGAGCCGTTTCTATACTGGACCTCCGAGATGCTGTTCTGGGCATGGACTTTGCTTCCCATTCGCCTCAAAGTCACTCTTGTCCTGTTACCCTTCCCGTTTCAAAAAAACGGGTTCTCCTCTCGGTTTCTGGTGGAGGAGCTCTGTCCACGCTGAGCTCGAAATGCATGGCTGCTTGTTTCTTCAGTCATTATGTTCAGCTTAAGTCAGGCTGAACATCTTTCCTGCCAGCTTGTTTAGGGGCTGGGTCTCCCCTTGTCATTCAGTGTCATCAGTCATAATAGATAGATATGTGACTAACGACAGGCATTGTGTGAGGTGCCTTAGTCTTCACACAGCCCTGGGACATCGTGATTATCCTCCGCATATGTTGCATAAGGAGACTTGGAGAGGGTAGGGAGCTTGCCTAAGAGCACAACGAATCCACTTAGGAGCCACGGCTCCCGTCCAGGTCTGTCTGCATCGGAAGCCCACGCTTTCCCCCCGATTAGACCCTGTTGCTTATAAACCCCAGCCCTCGGGTCTAGCTTTTGTTAGGGGCCATGTCGCAAAGAGGTGGGACCCTCTTTGAGCTCTGTAGCTGCTTCTCTAATATCCCTAAACAGCCTTTCTTCACATTTCAAAAAATGGGTTCTCCACTTGGTTTCTGGTGGAGGAGTTCTTGCTGTTTTTTGTGCATTTACAAGACAGGACAGCCCTCCAGCCTGGGCATCAGAGTGAGGCTCCAGCTCAAAAACAAGAGCAAGACAGGAGTGTCTGGGGTTGCCTCCAGTCAACAATCTGCCGTTCCCAACTCAAGCTGTCTCATCTCATTGTTCTGTGTGGCCGACAGTCACCTGGGACTCAGTAGTTCGCAAGGAGTGCAGCAGTTACTTCCCCAACTCCTACATTATTGTATATTCCTCTTTTTGGAGTGGGAGTCTCACTCTGTTGCCCAGGTTGGAGTACGGTGGCATGCCCACGGCCACCGCAGCCTCGACCTGCTGGGCTCAGGCGATCTTTCCGCCTCAGCCTTCCGAGTAACTGGAACCACAGGTGCGTGCCACCACACCTGGCTAATTTTTTGATTTATTGTAGAGATGAGGTCTCGCCAAGTTGCCCAGGCGGGTCACGAACCTCTGGACTCAGGCAATCCTCTAGCCTCCATCTCCCGAAGTGCTGGGATGACAGGCGTGAGCCACTGCGCCCAGCTACGTTCTTGTATTTTCCAAACAAAAAATAAAATGACGGGCACATAAATCCCTTGGAGAGACACTCCAAGAATGTTGACCTTGGGCACCCCCGAAGAAGAGATGCAAGAATTGCCATGATTGCAGTGGCTTGTAAGCGTGAGTCTTTACTTGGTCTTCTCAGGGCCAGAAGGGCCCAGAGTTTGTGCTCCCCGATACTCGTGTCAACCTGAATTTCACTGAGTGCAATCTCAATGTGGTGCCCTACTAGGGGTCTGGGTGGGGGTAGGGGCTGTCAGCATTTCCTAGCAGATGGGGGAGTAGAGGAGGCATTTTATGCTCATGAAATGCCTCACTTGCCCCCATGACAGTCCATCAACGGGGCATGAATATAGAATGCCACCCCAACCCAACAGCCATTTATCAAGCGTCTGCCACATTCCCCGTGCTTTCCGGGTATGTGCGGGCCAGAGAGGGTTTCCTTCCTTCCAGAAACATGCACCCCCTGAGACAAGACTGACACAGGTGAAACAGTTGGTGAACGAGACAGAAAAAAGGTGTGACAAAGCCGGTAAGGGACTGTGTTGCTGTGGGAGGGGCTGAGGTACACAGGTAAGGGGGTGCACACAGGTGATGCCTTCTCTGTGCTCCACCCCAGGGGCATCCCTCATCGAGGTGAGCCAGTCCCTGGGGCACGCATTATAGAGGAGACTCAGTCACCAGTACATGTATCACAGAGGAGAGCCAGTCACTGGGAAACCCATCACAGAGGAGCACAGGTCACCGTGGCACCCATCCCAGAGTCAGGCTACTCGATTTAGCATGCAGTTTGGAGGAGGGCAGTGATGTGGCTTGCAATGACCAAGGAGCCACCGTCCGTGGAGCACCTCTCAAGAAGGAGAGCTAGTCACCTCTCAAGAAGGAGGCACACGTTATGTAGGAGTCTCTGTCAGTCCGCCCAGGAAAATTGTCCCCAACAGTCTCTGTGACCGACACTCTCTGCCTGCGGGGCCCGGCCCTTGCTAGGAAGGCTCTCCTAAGAGCCTGGTCAACCAGGGCTCTTTGTCCTTGAGGCCCGCATGTCCTCGGGAGGAGACAGGGCCTCGGGCCCAGAGTCTGGGGTGGCGGGAAGCGGCCTCAGCCCGCGCAGCAGCACCCTTCCCCTCCGATAAGCAGCAAGACCTCACCCGGTACTGCCCCCCTGCGCCGTCGTCCAGCTCCAGGATGTAGCCGTCCACAGGGCTGTGCGTGAAGGGCGGCATCCTCCAGGCCAGCGTGACACTGTTGTTGCGGGTGCAGCACTTCTCCAGCTGCAGCAAGGGGCCCGGCGGCACTGCGGCAGGGAGCCCCGGGGGTGAGCGCGCCGCGCGAGCCAGAGGCCGCT